CGTCGAGCTTAGGGTAGTCGGTGTAGTGTTTAGGGTCGGGGTCGTGGAAGCGGTCGGCGAAGGGGCGCGGGTCTTCGGCGACGGCGTCGGTATGGTTGTTGGTTTGGGGCGGCGATCTTGTGGAGTTGGCGCTGAGCATCTTCCCGATTTCCATCCGTTCTTGGTCAGAAAGGCGGTCAATCGCAGGACGTTCGTCCTGTTTGGACAGGCTTAAGTGCGCACGGATGGTGGGCTGGGAGGTCGTTGCTGTAGAAAGGTCCCCGAGGGTGTGGCGGGACTGCTCTTTGTTGAGTAGGCCGCGGAGGTCACCTTTAGGGAAGTTAGATACGGGACCGTGGCCGGGTAGATTCTCGAGCTTTCGGCGGATGCCTTCGAATTCACTGAAGAACTTTTGCTTGACACTGACGCCGCTATTCTCTGACGCGGTAGGCGGAGGTGAAAGACCGGGTACAGGAGAGCCGTCGACCATGGCGGCCTCTTCTCGCTCCTGTAGACCTTTGTAATGGATATCTTTTTCTTCCTGCCCAAGACGTTCCAGTTCCCAGTTCAGTTGTTCGATAGACTGTTCAAGGTTTCGTCTTTCGGCTTTACTTATGTCGTCGACATGTTGTTGACGGTTCTTTCCAACTGGGTCGTCCAGCGATTTTGCACTCAGGAAGTCGTTCACGCGAAAACGCTCTTCTCTATCGATTAGAGTCATGTTAAGGAACCCAGGATCTGACTTGAACTGCTGCTTCTCCCGTAATAATTCGCTGACAAAGTACAGACTCCCAGTGAGGACAATAACAGTCTCCTCCTCTTTAGCGAGGTACTTGGCTGCGCACAGCGCCCGCATAGCGCCGCGAACGGGGATGCACAAGCGGGTGATAGGGAATGTACATTCTTTAGCGGCCTTCAATATGGCCTGGGGGTCCATTGGCTTGACCCAGGGCATGCCGTCTACCGGCCCAAAAGTGGTGGCTATGATGTTATCACCGGGTTGCAAGAGTGGAAAGAGGAAGGAACGGGGGTCTCTGCCCTCAGACATGGCAACCACCCAGGTAATAGGCCATCCATTCTCTGGGTAATGCACTGTATTGGAATTGCGTCTTCGAGCCCGGAAGTGCTTGAAAACATAGGAACTGAGAGCCTCTGAAGCATCCCGATTATGAGCTCCGTCCACGAGAATCCTGGCACGGGGGTTTCCAAACACAGGCGGAACCGTCTGCATCTGTTGACGTCCGGGAAGCGTCAGTTTATTCATTTTCGACAGCATCTCCCGCAATCTCGCCGTGCTTTCATTAGTGACTTCACAGTATTTTCTGACAGCCAGATAGGCTAGGACCGCATTATCGCGTTGCCATGGCATCTTCCCCTCGGCAAACTTTTGCCAGTATATTGTGCTGAATAGCTCTTGTCTCAGGCTTGGGGTATCCACAGATAGTCGTGGGCCGGCGCCTATTTCCTTTGCATGTGCATCGATGACGTCTTGCACGGCGAATTCGTTTACAGGATTGACAATATATGGTACGGACGGTCTAAGAATGCCGGCCTTGTGGTGCGCGATTGCAGGCAGCGTGGTGCCCAAGAAGCTCTGGTGATCATGCGCAATTTTGGAAATGACGGACACAACCTGGTTGTTCAAAATGTTGGTGGCATCGAGCTTGCCGCCCATGCCGACTTCAACTACACCTACCTTTATTTTGGCATTGTTGAACATCTCGAAGGCAGTGGCGGTCAGGATCTCAAATTCGGAAGCGTTGATCTTGTCCCGCTCATTGAGGATTTTGAAGTGATTCTCGACCCTCCGGAAGTTGTGTTCCTTGACAGGCTCGCCGTTGATGCTGATGCAGTCCCATCTAACTGGTCAGATATTGTTCGCTGGAAACGCACACCACGTGATGGATGATGGCGTACCTGTCTATGGTGTACGGAGACGTGAAGGTGCCCACGGGGATGTTTTTGCGGCGCAAGAAGGTGGACGCGAGCAAGCAGATGGAGCCTTTGCCATTGGTGCCGGCGACGTGGATGCTCTTCCAGGGAAACTGGACATGCTTCAGGAGAAGGCCGATGCGCTCCAAGCCGGGCTGGATCATGGCCGTCTGTTGGGGGTTGTGCAGGCAGCATGTGCTTGGATGGGCCAGGTGGTCACGCGTGGATGGGGGTGAAACGCGCAGTCGGCGTGGGCCTGCAGGCGCAGTTGAGTCAGAGCAGCTGGTGGTGGAAAAGTGAGATGGCCGAAGTCGACGATGGCTGAAACGGGCATCGGGGCTTGGCGCGGCAGGCCGCCGTGGTTGGTGGTTGGTGGTTGGTGGTTGGGGGGCAGCGCGGGCAGCGGGCAGCGGGCAGCTTTTGCGTCAACAAGCAGCCAGGCAGTCGACACGCAGCCCATATCTGGAGCCGCGTCTGTTCGCAAGTCGCCAGAGTGTTGCGCCGGCCATCGCCATCATCACCATCGTCGTTGTCGATTTACTGAATTCACCGTTAGCGCTGGCCTCGCTTGTCAGCCCAGCCCAGCCCAGCCCAGCCCCGACCTCCTCGTCCTGCCCGTGCTGATCGCCCTCGCCGTGCCATCACCACGCCGACCACAACAACAACATCTGCCCTCTGCCCTCTGCCCTCTGCCCCCCTCGCCCGCCATCGCCACCCACTCCCCGTCCGTCGTGCTCCTGCAAAATGGGTCTTCCAGTGTGGCGTGCGCCCTCGCCCGAGCCCGGCCGGGACGCGCCCAAGGACCTGACCGCCCCGGCGCGCTCTCCCATCCGCCGAGCGGCACCTCGAGCGCGCGTCGCGCGGCGCGGGTCACCGCCATCGCCGCGGCTGTCCTCCAGGCTGATCGAGCACGAGTTCCTGGCGCGGGCACTGCCGGCGCCTCCATCGCGGCTGGCCCATGTCGAGCCCGCGGTGCAGCCGTCGAACCTGCGCACGCAGCTGCCCCCTCCCCCAGTCCCGGAGTCGCGAAACTACCGATTCAGCGATGCGCCCCTTCACCCGGGCCTGCCCGACAGCGACGCGATGCAGCGGCAGCTGCGGAGCCTGGAAGAATACCACACGGCCCATCTCAGGGACTCGCCCGACGCCAGCGTGCCCAGCAGCTTTGCGCTTGCCTACAGCTCGCGGCACCTCCCTGCCTTCACGCCCAACTTTGCGCCCGCAGCAGCCTCGCGGGAATCGCGACGTGAGCATGCAGCCAACCATGCAGAGCGCTCCCCCGTCCACGGCCGGTCCCCATACCACAGAGCGGCGGGTCGCTCGAGACTCGCTTGGTTGGAGGCCGGGAGGCGCGACAACAGGCGCACCGTTGACGATGGCGATGAGGATGGCAGCGACAACAACGCCGTTGGCTTCCCCCCACTTCGTCGCATGGGCCGCCGCACCATCGCCGACGGTCCGCTTCCCTCGAGCTCACTCCGCGAATCCTGGAGCCCAGCGACCACACTCGATGGGCTGGGCGATCGCGACCGCAGCCTCAGCCCCATTGACGATCATTGGGACACCATGCTGAGCACAGTTGCGCCCGATCCGCTCGCACCCACCGCCGATTCCTCCTTTACCTCTGCAGCCGCGTCTGCATCCTTCTCGAATTCGCACCCCAGCTCGCGCGCTGGCAGTTCCAACTCGAATTCTGCCTCGTCATCGCGGACCCATATCACTGTTCCGTCGCGCCGCGGTTCGCCTCCAACCGATGGCTTCTTCCGCGCCTGTGACACGTCCGAGGACGACTCCGCATCGGACACGGAGGAAGAGGAGCTTGAACTCACCCCGGAACTGGCCTGGGCGCCGTCTCCCCGTCGTCACAGGTACCATGCAGCCGAACCACCAGCCAGAAACCCTGAGCGCTACTCGCGCCGTGTCCACGACCGCTCAGGGGAGGCCAGTGCCTATGTGCGCAGGGCGTTTCTCCACCACCGACCCTCGCCGCCTGTCGACAACACACGTTCCACACGTTCTCGTCTGATTAACCGACCGGACGGGCCGGCGGATGAGCCGACGACTGGCGACAACGAAGTGCCCGCGCTCGACCAGGAGCTCCGCGACGCCCGCGCGCTTCTCGAACGTCTGACGCGCCGGCCCGACGTGACTGACGAGTTCTGGGCTTCGGTCGGCCTGAACCGGCCCATGGCGGATCGCGTCGAGCGCTTCCAGCAGCTGGAGCGGTTGTCGTGATCGACGTGGACACTGCGGGACGACGCGCGAGACCTGCAGGCCGGTTTGGTGCTACGTCCTTTTTCTCCCGCTTGTACGATCACCGCCCTTCTTTTCCACGTGCAATCTTCGTTTTCTGCCGGATGTTTCTTTCGTTTGGCGACGAGTCACGTTTGCTAGTATGCATTCTAGCCGTAATATTTACTCTTTTCTAAAAAGGCTACGTGTTATGGGTTTGGAGAGGCCGAGCTACAGAGATATATATCTTTCTTCTCTTCTTCTTCTTCTACGAGTTCAAACAAGGCGGGCAGTGGGCAGGCGGAGAAAGTCCTTTTAGCTATCGGGCGGGGCGGGTGTCGTGTACTACTCTATTTTCTGGGAGCGCTTGTGGCCTGGTAAAAGGGCTGCATCTACGTAGCGCGGGAAAAGGAAATGCAAAAGCGATTACGTGTTCATGATTGTGGCTTTGTCTGAGTGACTGGGTGGGTTTGTGAGTGAGTGATGTTGGCGTGGAGGGGAGTGGGTGTGGCGGGCTTTGCAAGTTCAGTGCACTAGGAGATGTGCTTATGTTTTTGGATTTTAGTCTTGCTATGATGATCTGATAGAGCGAGAACAAGCAGTTATAAACTGAGACTGTGATTCCGTGCGCTTGTTGCCCTGCAGTGTGTGCACATCTGAAGATGGTGGGTCTGAGTGAGAGTGCATGGCTTCAGCAACAGTGCCAACGCATTCATGAAAAACTAAATTAAGGATTAAGAATAATAAGATGAATAGCAAGCTGAGTGTGTCTAGCACTGAATATTAGTGCTCGTGGTTCCGCACAGTTGGTGGTCCAAAAAGACATCCACACCCACCAGCATATATCCAAAAAAATACATCTCAGGTGGGGCTCGAACCCACAACCTTTGGATATCAAATTACTTGGTTACGTAATCAGCTAGAAGTCCAACGCTAAGCTCGAATTAGCGCATATTCAATAGGAAAGTAACGGAGAACTTACCGCTACCATTGCGCCACTGAGACTGGATTACATTTCATGTAGATTTTGTCAAATTCTCGGGATTATTAAATATATATCCTACGGCAAATATCACCCCAGCAAACACTCAGATGTCAGGCAATAAGCAGTAGGCCCTGAAAGAGCGGTAAGACAAACGGTAGCCTGCGTAGGGCACGGCACCAAGTAAAGTCTGACACGACACCCCGCTTCACCCCTCACCCCACCTGGCGGCACGTCCACCGCCGCTTCCTCACCCGCATGGGCCACGTCATATGGCGGGCGGGCTAGCTTTGTATTACTTAGATACTGCATGGTTCACGGGATACGAGGGCTTCACGAATGGGTGGTGGGCATTGTTATATGTTATATCTAGGGTTGGGAGAGTGCACAGTTGGGAGAAACAGCTTTGAGATCACGGATGCGGTGCAGAGATCTTAGAGCTTATAGTATTGGGGTGTCACATATTTGGCGGTTGTCCGCTTTATTGGGGCTTGGGGGTTGAGTTGCGGTTTGAAAGGAGGTGAGGTTTGGGTTTGAGTTGAGCTGAGCTGGGGCAATGTGTGTGTGCGGGTTTGGCGACGATGGAAACGAGAAGGAGGACTACGACTACAACGACGACTATAACTACAACGACGGCTACAATGACATGTGGATTGTACATGCTTCCTACCCCAAACACGAGACTACTCCCACAGCTCTACTTACTAACTACAAAATCATTCCCCTTCAAACTCTCTCCCACACTACTGGAGTCGTCAAGTCTGGACTTGAACGTACCCCGCACTCGTACCCACCATGTCCGAAAAATTGAAAAATTGTCAGTGCTGCTGGCAGCCATCCTCGGATCGCAACTTGGATGTAGGATGGCTTGATCAGTGTATCGCGTACTGTGGTGGATACAGTGGTACTTCGTTAGGGTGTGAGGATGCTCTTGGAGTAGCACTCAGGGGGACGCATCCGCACACAACATGTTCGAAAACTCATGACTTTGTTAGTTGTTGCTGGAAGCTATCGTTGGATCGCAACTTCGATGTAAGATAGCTTGGCTGTGGCATCGCGCACTGTGGTGGATACAGTGGTACTTCGTCAGGGTGCGAATGTGCTCTTAGAGGGGTGCTCAAGGGACGCACTCGCACAGCCACTGTGTCGGAAAATTCGGAAAATCGGCAGTGCTGCTGGAAACTATCGTGGAATCGCAAATTCGGTATGTAAGAAGGCTTGGTTGAGGTATTGCATGATGCGGTGGATACAGTAATAGTTTCTTTGGGGTGAGGATCCGTTTGGCAGGGTGCTGGGTTGAAGAGGGGTTCTAGGAGTTTTGTGGGGAACAAGCCCACCCCCTATCCATACCTACCGAACACGAGGGGCAGGGGCAGCAACAAACGTCCTTGCGGAAGCATATCTCCGAGCTCAAATAAACAATAACATGCACACGACACGGAACTCCTCGTCCTCGACATTTCTCCTATGTGTTTAGCTCTCATTCATTAGAACATAAACTTTTTAATTCAACCAAGTCCCAGATTCTGAACAATAATGGCGACGCTCGACACTCCACATCCAAGGCGCTTGAAGATGCAGGAACAGGATCTTCGCGGCAAAGTTGCGCTGGTAACGTACGTTGTTTCGGGTTCTGTGCTTGAGAGTATTGGGAGATCAGCGTTGGGGAGGTTGGTGGTTATAAGGGTGGTACATGCAAATCCTTTTAAAGGATGCCACAGCGTGCATTATCCAATGCCTCACACACGCGTACAAGGATAGCTAGGCATAATGGGATAGTGAGGACGATTCCATGGCTTGGATGAAGCCTTGCCTTGTCTGAACTCTACGCTATATACTGGCCCCAACGAGAATCCCTTGCTCACACCCACCTCTACGCATTCCCCTCATACACACCCATCTACCAATCTCAACACTACACCCACTCTAACGTCTCTCACAGCGGAGCAACCAAAGGCATCGGCCGCGCCATCACCCTCGACCTCGCAACCCGCGGCGCCTCCATCCTCGGCACCTACTCGACCCCCGAATCCGCACACATCTTCGACGACCTCGCGGACGAGATGACCATCCTCTACGGCACGCACGGCACGGACGCCGAGGAAGCTAGAACCGGCGCCATGCCGAAAATCTACGGCATCGCTGCAGACATAACCGCGCCTACCACACCGTCGCTCATCCTCGCGGCTCTGCGCATGTACTTCGACGGAAAGGTCGACATGGTCGTCTTCAACGCTGCGGTCATGGGCCTCGCGAAGATGGGCGATGGGAACGTAGATGAGATGTTTGTGGACACGGCGCTGGCGGGGAATGTGAGGTTTCCGGTGCTGTTGATGGAGGGGCTGGTGCGAGAGGGGTGTTTGAGGAGGGACGGGAGGGTGGTGGCGGTGAGTAGTGAGGGTGTAAGGGCGAGGAGGCCGGGCGGTGGGTAAGTTGACTTTTCGTCGTCTAAGTTTCTGTATGCAGTTCTCTTTCAGATTTGGTGGATATGATGCGGTGCGTTTTGTGGGCAATATCGAAGACTGGGGTGTATACTCTATTAACAACGACCTCACTGCTAACATACCCACAGCACCGTTTACGCAGCCACGAAAGCCGCTCTGGAATGCCTCATGAGGTAAGTCCTGTTCCTCGCAAAACCACCCATCTAACATCTCCCAGACAATGGGCCGACGAACTCGGCACGCGTCCCGGCATGGAGGGCACCACATTCAATTCCGTAAGCGTCGGCTTCACCAAAACTGAAGCCTACAACAAGATCCCAGCTGAAATTCGAGACCGGCTTACTGCGTCTGATGCTGCCGAGGTAGCCGTTGGAAACCGGATCGGTGAAGTGGAAGATGTTGCCGATGTGGTGGGGTTGTTGGTGAGCGAAAAAGCCAGGGTAAGTCCATTCTCTCTGGCGAGACTGATCGCGGTGCTGATTACGCATGCAGTGGATTAGCGGAAGTGTTGTTGACGCGACGGGCGGGAAGGCGAAGATTATGTGATCTGACAGTGGAGGGAATATAGAGAGAGCTGAGCAGGCTGTTCGGATAGATGTATCCGTGGTGGATACTTGATACCTGAACGTCGAAAGTGCAACCTTCGACTTTTGATTACGTTGGGAGTCAGGCTTATCGAAAGGATCTCTACCGTGACGAAATTGGTGGCACATATCGAACCCCGCATGATTCTTTACCGATGCGCCCCTCCAAACTATACTCTCACCTCTACAAGTTATATACTGAACATTACCTAGTATGCTAGATACAATAGGGTTTCATAAAGATAAAGGTAATACATTTACCAGTTGCTGAAATCTTGTATATCGTCAAGAGGATTGCCTATAGTTTATCTGGATCAGCAATTAATTCTCCAAGGGGGCCCCAATCAACCACTTATCACTAGCCTGTTGCAATCACTCCGTACTAGATCGTCCAGTCAGCCCTCTAAGGCCCTAGTATAATCAGTGTCACACGGTACTCGCTGCCACGAGACATGTGCAGGGCTCTAGAGGCAGTGCCTGAAGATCTACCGATGGTGGACTGCCGGAGCGAACCGGAGAATTCAACGTAAATTAATTTCTTCCACGAAGTGTCCAGAGGAGGAAGAATGCTCCTAGTGCCACATGTTGGGAAATTGTTGTTGGGTTTGCAGATCGATCCAATAGTATGATGGCGTTGGTGACCTTTGTCGTCGAGAGCGGATAGCAAGAGCTTGTGGATGCTGTTTGCCGGATACAGTCCATATGTTGACACTGTAGAAATAAAGTAAACCAGGTGCTGTTATTTCTCATCTTCGGCTTTCAGAGCTGTTGAGGCTTGCTTTTTCCTAGAAAGGGTTGATTCTTCTATCGTCATGTACGCGTAGTGCCTGGCTGATAGTACTCAGGCGGGCTGATATGGCAATCTTGCAAAATATCGGGAATGATCTACTGCCACGAGGTTTTCTGCCGGTTAAAAGGTTCCTGAGGCGGATAAAGCGACATGCTGCAGGTAGGGATTGCCGCAGATATCTCCAGCGGTGAAGCTAGCGGGCTGAACGACGTACCAGAAGAATTGCATAGTTACGTCCTGGGATGGTGCGAGCAGACGGAGGTCACTGTGGAGATGAATCCCCACAGATAGCAATGTCATTTCTCCACGACCAGTCCAGTAAGCGTAGCCTGTACTCGTCGATAGGGCTGGTTCAGGAAAGGGTGATTTCGTAATGCTGCTGCGAGAGTGAGCTCAATTCGGCAGTACTCTGAGTAGATTAGAGCAGGTTGTACAGATTCCGCTCATCCAGACACGCGAACACTGCCGTCCTCGCCTTGAGGCGCTTTAGCCTTTGCTGAACTTGTCGGTTTGGCGGCTACAGCGACGCGGTGGTGGACTCGGTACGAGTAGCAGTGTGGTACTCCGTCGAGGCGTGTCGCTTCCAGAGCCCACCAATTCAGCGCGCAACGGCGCCGTCTAGTGCCAGCGTCCCAGCTCCTGGTCATCAACATGACGATGCCGCCGCTGGAGGGAGAGCGAGATACTCGGCGCAGGGTGCAGCGTCGGCCAGCGGGTGGGGTGATTGGTGCGAAATCTGGGGCCGCGGCGAGGGCGACGGATAAATGGCAGCGCTGGACCCGGCCGGCCACGGCCACTGCGCGCTGTCCCGCCGGCGCACCTGCATCCACGACATGGGCATGGGCATAGGCATGGGCATGGGCTCACCTCTGATTCCTGAACTGCCCGGCATGCTGTTTCTAGCGGCCGCCCGCACGGCATATTCGCAGTCCAGCCATACGACGACCTCAACGTCCGGCTTCGGCGCGGATTCGACGGACCTGGGCAGCCCTTGTGCCGTGCAACTTCGCCATCAGCCTTCACACACACGTTGATCATCCTCTCGCCCCGTCTTATATCGCGAGTCGTGCACTACTGCTGGTCGAGCCTGAGGCGTCCGTACCCGTCTATATACCGCCCACCAGTCCCAGAACGCGCTCACAGCTACGGAGATGGTAGAGATATCTCAACGCCTCCGCCAGTTGAATACGTCCCGTCGCATCTTC